AATTACTCCTATTTGGATTACCCAATTCATACGTGCACACTTAACATAGTTATGAATGTTATTTTCTTTGAAATTTAAACACGTCAATGGTATTCAATTTTGTGTACTTATATATATATATATATATATAATTTAACCATTTAATGGTGTTTTATTTGTTATTTAATATGAATAACAATACATTTTTTAAATTTAAAGTACATTAAATAAGGAATTATGTAAGTGTGAGTCCCACAATTTCACATAATGTGATGGAACTTACAAGCCCACACAATGCGAATTTGTGTCCTCCAAACTTGAAGGAAGTATTATTTTTTATTAATTAATATACAAATTATGTATATTGATTTTGAAAATAATTCTATATAAATTAAAGATGGGAAAGGGAAGATTGGGACACACACAGACGGCTGTTTGAAGAAAAAGACGAGGAACAGAACAAACTAGAAACAGGGAAGGAAGATAAAAAAAATTTGGGTCTTCACGAGTTCGAGATTGGAAAATATTTATATATGAATTTAATCATTTAATGATATTTTGTTTGTTATTTAATATGAACAACAATACATTTTTTAAATTTAAAGTACATCCAATAAAAATTATGTGGGTTGGCATGAGTCCCACATTTTGTCATTATGTGGGACTCACAAATCCACACAACGCGAGTTGGTGTCCTCTAAGTTTGGAGGAAGCATCATTTTTTTATTAATTAATATACAAATTATGTCTATTGGTTTTAAAAAGAATTCTATATAAACCATAGATGGGAAAGGGAAGATCACACACACAGACGGCTGTTGGAAGAAAAGAGGAGGAAGAGAACAAGCTAGAAACAGGGAAGGAAAAGAAAGGAGTTAGAGGTAGGAAAATATGTTTCAGGAAAGTAATTTTTTTTTTTTTGTCATTTATTCAATAACATATATATATGTATATATATACATATACACACACCACATGTCTTTTCTATATTCTTTGAATTTTACAAACTTCATTAATTGTTTAGTTGTAGTTAATTCCATTTATGAATCTTGATATGATTTATGGTTTTAAGTGCTAGCTCAAGTAAGTAGCAGTCTTTGAGAATCAACTCAATGTGTTACTCCTGTGTAATTATTTTTTCATGAATTCATGTGATTATTATGACATGTTTGCTAACGACCAGTTTTGTTTTCCAACTGTATTACTCTAGATAGTGAACATTTTAATTTATTTTTTTTGTTAAAGAGAAAATAAGAAAGAATCTTGAGGTGAGATTTTACCATGCAAATCCAATTGTGAGGTGTGTTGGGGTGGAATCGTAAAAGTTGACGCCTTGAAAAAAAACTCCTAAATTCGAGTTTTATCGAGTTTTATAGGTAATATTAGGCTTTGGTTCAACTTTCTGAAAATTATTTTTTGTTTTCAAAAAACTGTACAAAAAAACTTCTTAGGTGACATTTTTTTGAAATTAAAAAAAAAAATCTAAAAATTAATTAAAAAATATTTATTTTCAGGTAATTGTAATTTGTAGTTCTTTGAAAACATTTTTTATTTTATAAGTTTTTAATAACCATTTAAAAAAAACTAAATCAATCATTTTATACATGTTATCTCTGTATTGAATTCCTAAACGAAAGGTTTTGCGCCCTAATGATATCTCCTTTTTCTTCCAAAATGGATGGTGAGTGTTTGAGTTCCGTAAGAGACTGTTTGGTAAATCTATGACTTTCATTTTTTTATTACACTTTCATTTATGTGAAAATGAAATTTTTTAAAAAACTTGTACAATCATTTCTGTCAAAATTAAATACGTTTGGTAATGTATATCTATTATTTAATTTAAAAAAAGAGAAATGCGAAAATATGTTTGGTATTTTCTTTTTAAATTTGACTCTTTTATTTAATATTAGTGTATAATTGAAAATTAATAAAATAATAGAATAACACTTTTAATTTTACTATTTGAGTATAATAAAATATATATTTTTTATTTCATTAACTATTTGAGTAAAATTGAAAAATAATAAAATAATATTTTATTTACTATTCGAGTATAATTGAAAATTAATAAATTATAAATTAACATTTTTAATTTTACTATTTGAGTAATAAAATATTTTTTATTTTACTTACTATTTTAGTATAACAAAATTTATTTTTAATTTTATTTACTATATGAGTATAATTGAAAAATAATATTTTATTTACTATTTGTGTATAATTGAAAATTAATAAAATAATAAAATAAAATTTTTAATTTTACTATTTGAGTATAATAAAATATATTTTAAATTTTATTTACTATATGAATATAATTGAAAAATAATGTTTTATTTACTATTTGAGTATAATTGAAAATTAATAAAATAAAATATTTAATTTTACTATTCGAATATAATAGAATATATTATTTTATTTTATTTACTATTTGAGTATAATTAAAAATGTTTCTCTAATTATGAAAAATAATAAAATAACATTTCTCTAATTGTAAAAAATAATAAAATAACATTTTTCTAATTCTCATTTTGAAAAGTAATAAAATAACAGTATTTCAAAACCAAAACTTACATTTGTAGAGTTGAGAATTATGAAGGAAATATGAAAAGAGTTTTCAAAAGTTTTAAAATATGAAAAGTCAAAATAGAGTTACCAAATGCATTTTGTTGTTATTTAAAAAAAATTAAATTACTAAAAGTATTAGTGGATACAGAGATATTACCTAGAGTCCTTCCTTGTAAAGTATGTGGGTGTAGGAGTGACGGTCCGTATAAAAGCACGGTTAATTTGCTTGGATAGAAAATTAGTTTTGAGATACTAGCATGATTTATATATGATTGATAATTAAATGCTCTGCAAAGAATTTCATATATACATATAATATTTAACTTGTGGTTTTGAACTGGTTTGAGTTGGTGGATTGTGTTTTTATATTTTTATGCTACTTAAATTGAATAATATGCTTTTAAATTATTATTATATATACATGTTGATACATATATAAAAGATAGATGAGATATTACTTGACTTCACCACCTTTATAAAACTGTTACATAATTTTCTTTTATTTTTAAGATTTTAATTTTGTTTATAATAATGTGACTGGAAATTTCATATTGAGAGTTTCTGTATCACTCTTATAAAGGTGAATATATATATATATATTAGAAATTATAGTCACACTATGAGCTTAGGTTAGACCATGGACCTCGGATTGGCTCTTGGATGAAGGGGGATGGGGTGTATGTTGCACGTTTTAACCGACAAGATCATGAGTCGTTTTGAACTTAATTAATCCATTAAATATTTACTTAGGCTATTAATATAAGTTGGAGTAATTATCATTTTAACTTAAATTTGGAGGGTTTAGTTTGAAAAACGTTGTAATTGTATACTTCTTAACACTAGAATTTAGAAAGCACGAATATTTCATTTTTTTTTTCTATAAGAGTTGTATTGAGTTGTGCGGGTGACAGTCACATGTTTCATGACACACATATAACGTAGTTGGATGCATGTATTAATTTATTTATTATCATGATCGGACAAAGTTGTACCCGTCATGAATACTTTTAGGAGTTAGTAGCTTTGCTATTATATTTTTTTAAAAATGTGATTATGTTTATGATAATGTTTATAAAATGAGCAAAAATTTATTTTTGTATTTACAATAATATATTATATTACTATTAAAGATGACTAGCCTATGGTACTTTTTTCACCTTTCAAATAGAAGACTTAGGGTTCAATTACGTTAAAATCAATGATCTTATAGTATTTACGCCAAATTTTTATAAAGTAAGATATGGGTAGAGTTTGGACACCACTTTATATAAAAAAAAATATTTATTTATATATAATTTATTGAGTAATAGTATTATAAAATTTTAATTCATTTCTAATTTATATACTAATAGTTGTAAATTGTAATGACTTTTAGATCATACATACGGTTATTCTACTTCTTTGTCATAATAGTGTTTTTATTTTAAATGAACAAATATCATTTAACGTTTATAATATGTGTAAAATGTCAAAGTTTATTATAAAAAATATTGAACAATTTAGAACGTGTTTATATTATTTTTAAAATTATCGGATAAACTTGTATTAGAAATGTTTGAAAATGTCGGCCTAATTGTCCAAAATAATAAAAATTTATTTTTAATTACGAAAACATTTATGAAATGTCGAATACGTGTTCGATGAGTGCGCGACAACACACCGAAACAGACACGACACAAATACAACTCTTCGAGTGTCCGTACTTCATAAGTATTTTCTTAAATTCCAAATAGAAGGTCAATGCTACAAATAGCCATAGATTTTCCTTAAATTTTTGGAGAAATTGGTATTACAAATTGTCTGAAAAGTTTATGGGTAATAATTAATAAGCCTTCAAATTTTGAAATTATTCTCTTTTTTGGTGGGAAATTTTTTTAGGATTGAATCACAACTTTTAGTAGGTGATTTATTAACTTACTATAATCATGAAGTTGTTTGACAGAGAATGGTATATTGGAGATATTTGAACGAAGTATATATAGAAATACATTAAAGCATTAATTAAACTTAAAGGCATTGAATCATCTATGTGTTGTCCAAATATAGAAATTAACATAATCTCCAAAGAAATGGGATAATTTACTTTGTCTAAATACAGAAATTAACATAATCTCTATAGAAAAAGGATGACTTTGCTTTCCAAACACAAAACAGCGCTATAAATAAAATTAAGAGCTATGCTTTTTATAGAAGTAGTTAAAAAAAAAAATAGTTGTCAGTATATTTTAACCGATCATGCTATTAAATGATTGAAATATGCATTAAATGATTCATTTCATTTTTTCTATTTAAAAAAAAAAGTCCCAATAAAGTGTTACAATTTTGAGACCAGATGTGTATATATAAATAGTACCATCATGCCAAGCATTTTCTAAAACTTACAAGGTCTCAACACACCCTAACCATCTCAACTTGGTTATTCTTGTAGGTCTTCTTCTAATTTTTTTCTCATAACCATGGAGTCTCACTACCAAAAGACCAAGGTTGTGTTCATAATGGGAGCCACCGGAGTCGGAAAATCCCAGCTCTCCGTGGACATTGCAACCCGTTTTCCGGCAGAGATTATCAACTCTGACAAAATGCAGGTGTACAAGGGACTTGACATTGTCACCAACAAGTCTTCTGTTTCGGAGAGGCGAGGCGTGCCCCACCATTTGCTCGGGGAGTTTGAGCCGGACACCGACTTCACTGCTCATGACTTCTGCCGCCATGCAGGTTCCGCCATTGAGCGGATAGTGAAGTCGGGACAAGTTCCGATCATCGTTGGAGGATCCAATTCCTACATTGAAGCACTTGTGGAGGACCCGTCCTTCAACTTCAAGTCTAAATATGACTGTTGCTTTATATGGGTTGATGTTTCATTGCCTGTGTTGCACTATTCTGTGGCAAAACGGGTTGATGATATGGTCCGTGCAGGTATTGTTCTTATTGTCTTTGTTGTCGACTATTATGCACCTACTTCATTCATGATGAGAAATGACACTCATGGTGTGTTTTTCTTACGGGTGAGCATATAATTTGTTAATTCAGTCCGAATCAATCCGATCTGTGTAGTTCGATTCGATTTTTAGATCTCATTATTCGCTGATGGTTTAGAAAAATAGCGATTCGCTGTTCATGGTTCGGTTAACGGATTGGCCCTGGAAAATCCGATTTGACCCGTTAATCGAACTTTATATTAATATTATATATGTATATGTATTTCTATTTTTTATTTTTATTCATTATTTAAGACTGTAAGTTAACCCTAGGTCACCAAAATCATTAGTCATTACAGGTTTTTAATAACTAATTTGAGATTTTAATGGGCCATAAAATATAATCATATTGGGGGTTGTTTGAAAAGCTCAATACATGGAAACCGAACAGATTCGATCTGTTATTTTACGAATCGGTTTGGTTCGGATTGACGGTCCCCACGGATAGGTTCTGTTTCAAATTTTACCAATCAGTGGGGACCGGATTGGATTAAACTTTACCCTCAAACCGAACCGATCCGATCCGTGATTAACCCTAATTTTTTTTTTATACTGGTTTCAACGCATTGAACTTTTTTTTTTTTTTTTTTTTCAGGAAATAATACTACACTTTTCATCTCATTCAAACGATAAGAAATGACATTCATAATTATTTATATATTATAAATTTTTTGATTCCCACTTCATTCAACTGACAAGAATTGTTGATACTAATTTATTTAATTATTATTATTTTTTATCCATGCAGGGCTTGTTGAAGAGGTACGAAAAATGTATGTCCCCGAGGCGGATTACACTAGGGGCATTCGTAGGTCAATTGGGGTGCCAGAAATGGACAAGTATTTTAGGGCCGAGAAGGACATGGACCGGACAAGCAAGGAGATGTTGCTCAAAGCTTCCATTGAAGAGATTAAGAATAATACTTGTAAATTAGTCAATTGCCAACTTGGTAAGATCCAACGGATGAGGTACGAGCTCGGGTGGCTGTTGCATCGCATTGATGCTACCCCCGTGTTTGAAAAATGCGGGGAAAAATGCGGAAAAAAGGCCAAGGATGCTTGGGAGGATCTAGTGATTCAACCGACGCTGGACATATTGAACGATTTCTTTAGAGAGAACGAGATATTCGTTGCGAACGACACCATGATCATCCCTACCACCATGATTCAGCCTATGGGCCAGCTGCAAGTTTCAATTTAGACTTGATATATATATATATATATTATATCAATATTGACTTGTGAAGATCAAGTCATTTTATATTAAGAAAAATGTTTTTTGAGTGTTTAGGTTAGACCTCTCCATGTAACAGCCTCTAGATTTTGGTTCAGTTTTTCTCAGGCGATGCTTAATTATGTCGACCATGGAGAGAAAAAGTGGTTTCAAGTAGGACAGCAAAAAAAAAAAAATGTGTGTCATTAATTTGGTCTTAATAATAGATATTTTTACTTTTAACATTGGATATGTGCAATGAATAGCTTTAAGTGATTTTATTAGAAGAATGAGTGCATTAACTAGTTCCAAATTCATATATATATATATATAAAATAAATTGGACTAAACTACGTTCTACTACGTACCAATTGTGCGCGGGAATGATCCAGGAGGACTAGGACTATCTAATAATTTTTGGAAAGGGAATACCACATTTCACACTTGCACAATAAATGCATTCACTTTGAAGAAATCAAATGGCCATGACTTATTACAACATAACTTAAAACACAAGGAAGAGCATGACAACTTACAAAGTGAAGACTCAATCACACAACAATTAAGCAACAGAGCAAACAAACAAAAAACAATAGAAGGCCATTATCCAGTTGGACATATAATTAGTTCATTAAACTTCAGCAATGGATCACTGACTGGACAAGGTTGCATTTAGCCGGGAGTTGCATGGCGAGGTCCGGGTCGACGCCGAGAGTAGGCAACAGACTGGAGCTCTTGAAAGAGCACAGGCATTGCATGTCAGCTTTAGAAAGGGCAGAGCAACAGGCAGGCGTAGGCGCCGGCAAAGGGTTCACCCCTGCAGCCACAGATGGCTTGCACGACATGAGACCATCGGTTGTCATGCCGCATATGGACTGACCAAAGGCCGCCTCCACGGGCTCGCTCCCGAAGGCCATAGCCACCACCAAAGCCACAAGAACAAGCTTTGTGTATGCCTCCATCTCTCAACAACACTCTAGTTTTACTCTCTCTCTTACAACTTGTTTATCTTGCCAGTGTTCTGATCATGGTTATGAGTAAGGCTATATATATACACGGACACAAAGGGATAGGTGGTGGGAAGGAGAAATTATTATATGATTCTGGACCATTTGACATGTGGTGGTAGGGGTGGATCAGTTCAGTTTAGACTGATGTTGAGATTTTTTTGTAATATATTAATACATTCTTGTACTCCATCAATCCCATATGAGATGTCTATGTTTAGAATTTGGAGTTTTTAAGAGGACAATCAATTAATGTATTGTCTTTTTTAAAAATTACCAACTTGTCATTTTTAGCTTAGATATGTATAGTTATCAAGTTTGAATTTTTTTAAAAAATATAAGGACAAGGATAGAAAGATAAGGCTTATTTGTTTTGACTTTTTAAAGTTGACAGCTAATTTGGGACGTCAAATGAAATAGTGAACTATTAATATGGGACAAAGGTAGTAGTATCATTTTTTTTAATAGGAGTCTGAATTGAATTGAATCACTAAGTGTCCATGAATTAGGACCGTCTAATAATTTCTCGATAGGAAGGCAAGACTTATCAATAAATTATTAAGTGGTCCAAGTGGTTTTGCCCAATCACGAAATGTCATGCAATAAAAAGAAGCTAATAAAATTAAGTCATTTAATTACATGATATCTCATAATTGTCTAAATCACATGGTCTCCGACCACCTAATAATTTTTTTAAGAATGACTTATCCTTTCACAAATCTTGTTATGTTCTAGTCATATCGTGCCACGTCACTATAAGTAAAGGTCTAGTGGGGCTTAAGGTATACATACATATGGTGAGGTGGGTGGTTGTGTTTTGCTTCTTGTTGTCAAGGAAGTGATTGTTGAAGGCTTGACTCTAGAGGCCACACAGAGGGTGTCTCGTGACACAAGCTAGGTTGGCAACTTGGCTGTCATGCATCACGGGTGTGCAGTGGTGCAGGACATATTGGCTTTTAGCGAGAGAAATTCATGTGGGTTGATCAGTAGATATAATAATACTAATTTTGTCCAATATTTGATGGTTTTGGAAAAAAGTTGCATGTGAAGTTGTGTACCTCATAATATATATATATATATATATATATATATATAAGATATGGCCTATATCATTGGTTCACTTAATTATTTTATCTTTATTTAATTATTACAATTGGATTCAGGCTTTAGCATTTTTACTCACTTAATAAAATAATTATTCTGTTATTCTTTTTTCTTTTTTTGATCAAGTGTTAAGTGTGAATAATTGGAAACACAAAATGAGCGTTACAAAACACGTGACACGAGGAATGTAAAGTCTTTGACGTAGCGTGGAATTATTTTGAATTCTCTCAAAGGGGGCAGCCAATAATAATTTGACGCGTGTCGAACAGATACGTGGCATCTCGTAGTGGATTGAAAACAGCCGAGCATTCCGGATAAAACGACTCGCTTTATTCTGCTTTTTCGACTGAGTCTCTCGCAAACAAACACCCCTGTCCTTTCAACAAAATAACATATGACCCATTACTATTTTTATTTCTATTTATCCAAATACCACTTCTTTTGTTTTTTTCCTCAAATACCGCATGTGATAAAAGTAACATCACTTGATTTTGTTTTAGGGAAACAAAAGGTTCAACTCAGTACTGTTTTTTTAAGAATATTTTATTATTTTAGAAATTTATAAAAATTATTCCATCAAAATGTCTCCATGAACAATTATAGCACAACAATCCAGAAATGCATAATAAGGTGGACTAATCTATTATGAAGTGGGCTAGTACTATTTATTTTTATTTTTATTTTTGGGCTAAAATTACCTCTAGTGACAATTTTTTTTTTTTTTTTCTTTTTGGGGTGGGCCATACCTCTGGATCCGCCCTTGCTAAGAAGCACGAATCCTAATATAGGTGCAAATACGATACGGACACATTCATTCGATAAATCAAAAAATGAAAAAGAAAAAAGGAGGATACGGGCACAACCAGATACAACAAAAAAAAACATATATATTTTTATATCAATTTCCTGTAATATTATTAATGTAAATGCAATCATTAAATTTTATTTAGAATATTAAAAGCCACGTGTGTGTATTTTAAATTTTCACAAAAATATCGTGTTGCATCGCAATGGACGATCTTAATTACTTATCACATGATTACAACTCAGTTGTTGGAACCTTTTATGGAGAACATAATATGTATAAATAAAAATCTTTTATGGAGAACATGATGTGTATAAATAAAAATCGTGAGATTGGAGGTACAAAGGAAGAAATTTGATCCACAAAATTTTGGATGACTTTTATCACAAGTTACACATATGGATTTTAAATTACTATAAATGGACTCAATGGATGTTACTTTATGTTGGTTTCCTTTTAAGTTGAGAAGTTGAGCTGAGAAATTCAAAAGCAACAACCATCTATATATTATTTTATATTCCATTCATATTTTATTGTTCTTTATCCCTGAAATAAGATTATGACTCCAAATATGACACACTGTTCCCATATACAGTATAAGTAGATTTCATTAGAATTGCAATTCATACAGGTCGGGTTGGTTTAAGGGACTTAATGCAAACATAGCACAAGTTCAATCTTCCTAACCCGAGTATAATTTGTGCTCAAATCTTTAATTTAAATTTGAATTCACGGTGTTGGGTTTGGATTGAGTTTGGATTTACAAAATACTCACAAATAATATAATCAATCATCTATTGTCTTCATAAATGCAGATTAATAGTAGTATTAGAACATTATTCTAGTACTAAGATAGATAAAATATCTCATAAATTAGCATTTTCTCACTTATTATAAATAATTAATCAAAAATCAAGAATAATGTCACGAAAAATGATTGGGTAATGCGTATTAAGTTGAGGTTTACACCTTTGGGTTGGGTCCATATTCGGAATCCAAGTTATATTTGAATTCATATTTTTTAATATACACCTAATTTAAGCAATGCTCTTTATATTTCATAATTTCATTTATCTTTTTTGTTGATAAAATATTTACTGTCTTTTAAACATTAGAAAGGTAAAATAGTCAGGCTATGGTATAAATCAAAAGGAAGTAAATGAAATTATGAAATTACGTGGGATATTACAAATTTCAGAGTATGTAAGTGAAATTTACCCAAAACTAACCCAAAGTAAAAGTGCAAATGGGTATTATAGTCATTTGACAAAGCAAAGCAAGTTAGCCTTGTGCAGAGTACTCAGTAGCTTTCCTTCGCAAACTTGTTCCCCACTTTCTTCAAATCCAGAACTTGTCTCTCTCACTAATCTTTGTGGTGAAGTTTGACAGTTCTCACTTTTACATTGTAACCATTGCTTTCCGCGTAACAACTCTTCATACACATACATATATACACATGTTTATTAAGTTCTGAGAGAGAAATACAAGAATATACATACATTGCTTCCCGCGTTTTCCATCACCGATCTCTCATTTTTTCTCATGCGTGCAAGCTATTCCCAAAACCTTCAACCCCCCCACCACATTTCTTTGGTCCTTAACGGTTTTAATTCCCTGTAAGTCTCTTCATTCCTTTTCAGCCTCAATCTCAATCTCTCCCCCTCTAGCTAAATCTCTACCTCATCATCAACTTTATTTTGGTATAATCACTTTCCCACCTGGCAACACAAACAATCCCATCATATTTATACACAATCTTGTCTGTTTCTAGGGTTTATACTTCTGTTCATCTTCAAAGCCTTCAAGTTCGACTCATTTATTTATTATTATTATTATTTTTGAGTTGATTTGTGAAGAAATCGAAGTATTAATCTTTTCGATTTCTGGGTATATTGAAATTTATGATTTTTAGTGAAATCCAGTGATTTTCTAGGTTCTCTGTGGTAGTGAAATCTGTGAAAATAGTATAAATTCCTTACAATCTCTGGTTTTCATAGGTTTGTTGATGTGGGTTTGATCTATTTCATTTATATTTTCTATCAAGTAGCTGGGATTGCATGTGAACAAGGTTTTGCATTTACAAGGTTCCAAATTGAAGTTTGATCTTGTGTTTCTTTGTGGTTTGTGAATTGGATCTGATTGAAAAGCGATGGGTGGGCACAATAGCAAGAAGATCACTGAGACTTCAACAACAATGAATTTCAGCAATAACATTCAGTACACAACGGAGCTCAACTCCTACGAAGCCGCGTGCAGGGTCGACACAGACCTGCAGTCATTCGACACAACCCTCCAAGCTCGAACGAATAATGTCATCAACACACTTGCTGTTGGGGTTGAAGTCCGGGCACTTTCATTTGATTCTCTAAAAGAAGTCACGGGATGCCTTTTGGAGATGAACCAGGAGGTAGTGAAGGTGATCCTAGATTGCAAGAAAGACATATGGAAAAACCAAGAATTGTTCGAGCTCGTTGAGGAGTACTTCGAGAACAGCTTGCAGACCCTAGATTTCTGCACTGCGTTGGAGAAATGTCTAAAGCGTGCTCGCGACAGCCAGTTGCTTATTCTTGTCGCGCTACAGAACTTTGAGGAGGAGGAGGAGAGTGAAGGAGATAGGTACATGAAGACGCTGGAGGAGTTGAAGAATTTTAAGGATGCTGGTGATCCTTTCACTGAAGAGTTCTACCAAATCTTTCAGTCTGTTTATAGGCAGCAAATGTCGATGCTTGAGAAATTGCAGCTTAAAAAGAACAAGCTTGACAAGAAGCTCAAGTACATTCATGCTTGGAGGAAGGTGTCGAGTATAATCTTCGTGGCTACGTTTGCAACTGTGTTGATTTGCTCGGTTGTGGCAGCAGCCATGGCCGCTCCACCTGTTGCAGCTGCGCTTGCTGCTGCAACTTCGATCCCATTGGGCACAATGGGGAAGTGGATTGACTCTCTGATGAAGAACTATGAGAAAGCTGTGAAAGGACAGAAGGAGATCATTAGCTCTATGCAAGTGGGGACTTATATTGCTATCAAGGACTTGGACAACATCAGAGTACTCACCAACCGGTTGGAGATTGATATTGAATCGCTCTTGCACAACGCTGATTTCGCGATTACTGAAGAGGCTGTGAAGATTGGGATAGAGGAGATAAAGAAGAAGCTGGGAGTGTTCATGAAGAATGTTGAGGATTTGGGTGTGCAAGCTGATATGTGCAGCCGGGATATTCGTAGGGCGAGGACTGTGGTTCTGCAGAGGATCATAAAACCCCCTCAGAATTAGAAGACGATCCTTGGTATTCCCAATCAAATACTGTTCTTATGCAGGAAAATTAATGTTGTTGTCAAGAATAATGAGAGACTGGGCATTTAAATTCTTGGCCTTCTAGTAGTGCCTAGGCATGGAAAGTTCTAGTTTCTAGTATATCCTTCATATTTTTTAATACAATCAATCATTCTTTATGGAATCACAGGTTCACATGTTTAATGTTTCCTTCATAGTTGAATATACTATAGTTGTTAAAGGCTCAAGGCGCACCGAGACACCAAGGTCCCCTAGAGCCTGAGGCGCAAGGCGAGGCGCGCGCCTGAGTGAAATAAGACGCAAGTTGAGAAAAAATTAAAAATGACATCTAATAAAAAGGCAATAGTAAATATAAAGATGCAAAATCATGTAAACCAAAAACTTGAGTTTAATAATAAACATACTAACATAAAAATGCAAAAGGGAACTACGTTCAATAGTAACAAACATACTAATATAAAGATGCAAAAGTCAACTAATTAAATAAAACCAAAAGTCAATATACATTTATTCACTTTGTAATCATTGGTTGTTCTGTTAATTTTGTGAATTGAGCAGCATTTACTGTCATTGAGGTGTCAAAATTATCCCAGTTTAAGATCTCTTTTGGAGTACTATTTTCTTTTCCTTTTCTCAGAGAACAAACAATAGGAACAGATTGAAAATTTGTCCAATTCAGTGTTTCCTAAAACTGTTATTTTAAAATAAAGTTTAAACCCAATTTTAGAAATCACACTTCTATGTTCTATTTCAAAAATGCGTTCTGGTTATGGCTATCCCACATGTGCCTAGCATCAACTACTACTACCTAGCAAATGTTTGTCACATATAAATAAAAAGCATCAGATGTAGTTACTTTAAACTAATGATTGTCCGGGACAATCTAGTCCCGAACCACGTAATAATTTCTCGAGAGTCGACACAGCTGAGAGAGAGAGAGAGAGAGAATCAAATAAAACATCAAGTTTGATTGCAAGTAAATTCTACAGTGTAATGGGATTAGCTCCTGCAATAGTGCGAGTTCAAAATACATGGATAGATTTCATCAAAATGCAGCTTTCACAAAGCCAACAATGGGGATGGTCGAATGTTAAAATAGGTAGCAGATGCCATATAAGCACATACAAACGAAACATACATTTTGAACCAAATGGAGGAGAATAAGGTCAAGTACGTACACGTGCCAGTCAAGATGATTACAACCATAAAATTTACCAGACACATAGTGGTAGACAGTTCCTTCTCGGTTCCTTCATTGGGGAAATGGCCTTGTGAATAAAAATCAGAAAGTAACTGATCCTTGCGACGGAATGCATCCACCAACCATGAAGCAACTCTGTCTTCAGATTCCGGGATGTCATTTAGAGGGACGCGTCGAACATGAATATGAACTTCAGCAGGGTCAACCCCGAAGGCATTATCCAAGAAAGACGGCAAACGATGCTTGTACGCAATGGTTACATCATAAACTGCAGTAAGATGCATGGAAGGATCATAACGAGGATGTGGAGTAATTAAGTGACACAAGTATAAGACTTGTTGTAAAACTACCTATCGGATGAAAATCCAAATTACCCTATCAAATTGCAAATGAGTCATACAACTTAGTATCCAACCAAAAAAACGAGAAAAACATAAAACATAATTAAAAATTAGTGATTGCATTGCAGCCTGATTAATAAGTTAAAAATATCTTGTTATAGGTCACAAAACACTAGATTGAATTATTATAAAGAAATTTTTGCAACCCGATAGTGTAACTGAGGTGGCATAAGGTATCTGGACATGACCCAGAGGTTTTGTGTTTTAATTCCTAGGGGCGTCAAAGACCTCCTCTCTGGGCTTACACAATACCCAGGGGCGGCTCAATATAATTTGAGACTTTGGACAAAAAAAATAAAGTGGCCTTTTAATTAAATCGACCCATATATTTATGTCAGTAATATGCTAATTATTTGTTTAGTGATTTTTAAACCTATCACTAAATTTTTTTCAAACTCTAGTTCCATTGTTAATTAATTGGCTATGTACTTCTAATAGTCACATTTAACAATATAAATAAAAATTATAAACAAAATATATAATTTTATGATAACAAAAATTAATAAAACTATAAACTAATTTAAGTTATAGAATAATAAAAACTGATTTCAAATAATTTGATCTAATGCTCCAATAAATTCTTTAATAGAATATAAGTGTACTCAAAATCCTCTTACAGAGTGAGATTGTAAATTGTAACAGTGAAGAAGATGAAGAAAAAAAAAAAAAAAAACTTATAATGAGAGAAGAGAAAAATATATGAGTAAGAAAAAAAGAGAAAATAAAAGTTAATAGGAGTCTTAAAAAAATATAGAAAGTTTCACCAATTTTCACTTAAATATATATATAAAATTCAGTGTGTGTGTATATATGGTGATGTAATGAGGATGAGAGAGGGCAAAAATAATAATAATAATAATAATACTTATAACAATAATACAAGGATAGAAATATTTGGGGCACACTATTAAATTTTGTATTTGTTGAAGTTTAATAATATAAGAAAATAAAATATATAGGTAAGTTATAATATATAAAGAAAATAAAATTTGGTGGCCCTCAAAAAAAAGATAAAAAATCCAGATCTTTTAGGTCAACTGTCAAACTTCTCTATGCGTTAAAATTTAATAATTAAAGAAAATATTATAATTGTTTTAGGAAAGTTATAATATATAAATAAATAAATAATTATGGGGCCTTCTTATTGGTTGGAGCCTTAGGCAACCGCCTAACTCGCCTAAGGCTCCAGCCGCCCCTGACAATACCCATGGTGGTTTGGGGTGATTGCGGGTATTCAAAGGGGTTAGTCTCATCACCCTCCGTTATTAATAAAAATAAATAAGAGAGAGAGAGAGAGAAGAAAAGAAAAAAGGCATTTTTTCTCTATATATCATAATATATGTAAAATATCTTCTTGTTTGTGGTATTGTTGCCATGTCCATGTCCATTTTTAGGATTTGTCATGTCAGTGTATCCGTGTTGTATCATGTCTATATCTCGTGTCGGTATTATATTTCATAGGAGGATGGCCATTACATGAAAATTGACAATTGAAATATACAGCTAAATCATTGAAGTGGTGAAAGATTATTCAGGTTCAGGCAAGTAGTTCAAGGTTAGGTTTCTGTCATATAAGGGTGTGACCTAAAATTTGGGTTAAGATGAAATGAATGAATGGGAAGAATGAGATAGGAACAAATCCAAAGAGGAAATTGAACTGGAAAACCAGATGTTACTAGTCTCGTAGTAGTATCAGTCTTTTTAGACTTTATCAAAAAAACTGAAATGTCCTTAAAATGTCTTGGTGGGTAGGTAACTATAACTTTTCTATTGTTTTTTTTTGATAAGTAACTATAACTTTTCTATTGTTGGCAGCACAAAACCTTTGATACTCGGGAACAAGTGTTTTAACTTCTGTCTTAGTGAACGAGAGTTAGTTCATTGAATTCAAAGGACTTTCAATTATGTATCTAGATTTGGTCACTCAGAAAGCAGATTTAATTTGTCACATTTTTAGAAAAAATGTTCGTCAAAGGTCCCCGCAGAAATGGTTTTTAGCAGTAAGCATGCATTTCATTATATTTCAGTTCTCCGGTCATTCTAGAAGATTGAAATTTCCTATTCAATTTAATGAATTCGTTCTTCCACCATCTCATGCCATTATATTCTCTAAAAATAAAATGAGGAAATTTAAATCTCAAGCGTATAAATTGGATGGTCTCAAATTAACCAAACAAATTAAAACCAAACCAGTAAATGTTAAGCAAAAGGGAAGCAAGAGAGTTAGAGAAAGAACAGAACACCTGCATCCACATAGCCCCTCAATTCCTCCAAGCAGGCACAAAAACCCTTGGTTCTTGGAAGCAGCACATTCTTTAAAATTGGTAATCCATTTTCAGAAGCATACTTTTGACTCCGAATGCACTTCTGTTCACTGCATTTAAATGGAGAAAGAAATTAGATGTACAATGTTTTATGAAGTATGTGCTATGCTTTTCTAGTCATAAAGTTAGATTATGCACAAACACTTGCTCTTAGAATCCACAATCTGTAAGTTTTAGATGTGCTTATTGCGTCTTCAAAAGTTCCAATGAAATCATTGAAATCCTCATAAAAAAAACCTAATTATGGAATATATCCCATTATGTGAACTTGATCATGTAACAGATAACATGTGTTTTTGGGAGGCAAAAAAATCTAAAAACTCATCAAAATGTAATAACTATTAAATTGAATAAAAAAGTTACGTGAAATCTGTGCCCTCCGGAAAAACAGCAAGCCAGAGGGGATCTCGAGGATCCTTAAATGTTGAAAGCATCTGACGCATATTTGCTTCATCAACCTCCCAGTTCCTCTCCACTGAGATGAATTCCATAATATGAAATGACCAACCAAATATAGGCATCTTCATCAAACTGCTCTTAAGAATATACTTTATATATTGCAGGCGTCCCTTCCGCAATGCAAAGTCCCACAAGTACATCCAATCAACTTCAGTTCTGTGGTTTGCCATAAGCAACACACTCTCCTTTGCAGGAACACTTTCTCCACAGAAAACCACTTTAGTCTTGTTTATCTTTTCATAGAGAAAAGGCCACAATGCTAGCCAAGCGCCAAAGAAAAAAGATGTTGCAATCCTGCTGTGATGTCTGCTGAAAAATCGTAATGTGACAGCCATCATAAAACCAAAGTATACTATCATCATAAATGCTGTTAAAAGTAACACCAGTAAACACATTACACCCCTTATGACTCTTAGGGGAGTTAAAGTACGGTGCCTTCGTCCAAAGTTTGAAGTGAGAGGCTTGCAGATTTCAGTTGGTGATCTTCCATCTGCTTCCATCTCCTAGCAGATCTGCAGCACTATGAGCAGCCCTTATTTTATACCAAAAGGTCAATCAAGATGCCAGACTCCTCACGACTGTAATCGGATCCTACAGAGCCATTTCTACTGAAATGGGAAAAAAGAGAGGAACAAACTCCTCATGACTGGGGGAAACGTGCAACCTGGTGGAGCAAAATTTTTGAATTTTTTAAGCACTGATATGCTTCGAGCATCAGGAAAGCACAGATAAACCAATAGATTTCAGCAGAAGAAAGTATCAGCATGGTGGATGCAGATAAAGAAGTTATATGCACAAACAGTTAATGAAGGTACTTTACACTTATCCTGCCAAAAGAGAGTGTTACCGGACTTATTAGTGTCAAATTGTTTGTATGTAATATATCCAATAAACAAGTATAATAAAGCCCATGCACAAGTACAAACTTAATGAAGTCAACGAATGAGCATTGATCGACAGTCGGCAGAATTACAATGACTAAACTGGCATAGCTCAACTATAATAAAATGCATTACTATGAAATGTAAATTATTTAATAACAGAAGTGCTCTAATTATTACAGAAGGGGAATTTTCTCTGCACAATGTATCACATATACGCTACAATTCCAATACAAAACCGATTCAGAAACCCACTCCTTTCTGCGATCATCAAGATTAATCAGAAACTGAGTATGGTTATAACCTTTTTCTAGGTACGATAGTCAAAGAATTATTTTTAGACATAGATGTATGTGATACTCCTGAATACTGTAGGTGGTAGTGTAACATTATTTTTCTTGTTCTGTCTTTGTATGTGATGGGGGAGAGAGAGAAACAGGACCAGTAGTTTTTGTGATGAATAAATCACAATGTAAATTGTTAATATTGAACAACACAATGTAAATTGTTTGTAGTTACTTTTCAAGATTCAAAGAAAACCCGAAGTAGTGGGCATAAATTGAATGTCTCATAATTGGGTGACCAATTGGGACCTATCTTAATAGGATGTTATAGAACTATCAATCTACACATAAACAAATACATATATGCATGTATCTCTGTGTGTGTGTCTATGAATATATAAAACTCCTATCAAGGTTCTGAGTCTGACTTGAACACATACAAAAGAAAAAAAGACACATCCGATTCCACCAACACTAGATGACTAAACAAGCTTCTCATGACTTCTTCCGTTACACACTCATAAATAGACAATATATAACTTGAAGAATATTACTTCCATCAAATCACATCAGCATTTAATTTTCAGTCACATACACATAAACAGATAAAATACAGTGATATTAAACTGGAATAAGTGAAATGTGAAAGGGACAATCTTGATCTGGTGAAGATCGCACAATATTTGAACTATTGATCTTAAAATTAGATCAAGAAAGCAATACACACACAACACACACAGATTTATAGGTCATTGTTCCATCTTTGTGTCAACAGTGAACTGCCAGTTCATCAAGTAAAATTGAACTCAAAACAATGAAGTACTAAAGGAAAAATCTTGATTTAGTAAAGAACAGGGAATATTTGAGCTATTGATGTAAAATCAGATAAAAGAAATATATATACACATATATATATATAGATAGATATAAACAAACATGTGTGTGAAGATATATATAGACACACACATAAATATACAGATATGAGATCGATGTGATGGTTGGAGATGAACTTACTAAGTGATTTTAGGGTTCGTTTTTCCGTCTTTAACGGTCAAAAAATAACCATTGAGGTGTGGAAGTTGCGAAGACAGCAGATGAGAGGCAGACCAGGGACCGGTGAATTTGAGGCTGCAAGAATGGTGATTGTACTCTGGATATGAGTTTATAATAGAAGCTAGGAAATTGCTTCAAATTACGAAAACTGCCCCCAACCAGTAAGAGGAAGTGGAACCTATGTGTTATTGGAGAAATTATTAAATGTTCATGCACCAGTAACATTTGATGAATTAGATAAATAATGCTACCGAATTGAGAAAATGACTGCCTAAAAGTGAATTAAATAAACCAAAACCATTTAATAATTTCTCGTGTTATTGACAATGGGGAATTTGGGGGTGAGGATCTCATTTTACATTCTCATTCTTGTTTATTTTTTTCATTCCAAAATTGGTTTCCCAAAATGCCCCCAAACAGAATGGAGCTGTCGCGCCATTTATTTTTCTATTATTTTGTCGCGCCAGTCATCTCTGTTGAGAAGAATTGTACTACGTATGTCTTAGTGTGAAACAATGAAATTGGATTGCACAGTTTATTTTTCTATTATTGGTTTGTTCGTATATCATTATCACAATAGAAATCACACTGCTACTTTGAATGGTTGGAATTTAAAGTTCTAATAAGTTTTATCACCATTAAAAAAAATATTAGTAAAGGATAATAATAGAAAAAATGTAGTTGATATAAACCTAAATATATCATTTATCTATATTTGATCCTGCAAATTTACATCTATTCGTTAGGGTCAAGAGTGGTAAACAACAACTTTTTTGTCAATTAAGCTATAACAAACTGATCCGGGTGGAGAAGCGCCCTTTCAAGTCTTCAGAAATTAGTGTTGAGGGGTCCTAAGGGTTCGTGCCTTCCCTGAGTCCTTGACACCCCAGGTTAATCAATAAAAATAAAAAAATAAAAAAAAAACTTGCTTTCCAAAAAATATAATACTAAAACACTTACAAAAACTTTCTAGTCTAAAATTTAACACTAGTACTTTTTAGTTCCAAAATAAGTGTTCCTTTTTTGGAATCTAAATTTTAAGAAAATAATTATTATTATTTTTTTCTTATATTAGTAGCGAATGAATTGCCAAATTTATTTATAATGAACGACAATGATGTAATGGTTTACTTTTTATAAGTTCAATATATGAAGGTTATGTTGTTAATCTTACAAAAAAATAAATAATAATAATAATAATAATTAATAATAATAATAATAATAGCACATTGACTTTTCAAAAAATGACATTTATTTTGAGACGAATAAAAAAAAAAAAATTAAACACTTATTTTGAGACGAAAAGGTACAATGTGCATATACCACTATACCTGTGTGGAAAATAATACCCCTCCAATAAGAACTTCTACTTTGAAAAATTAAAATAAGAACTTATACTTTGAAAAATTAAAATAAAATAAATTAAAAGTAAAATGAAATAATATTTAAAAAAGCTTGGAATGTAAAATGACCCTTTTGTTACAAGTAATTCTTTTGTTAAAACGGTTTTGGCCATAGGCCCACAAGGTCAATGTTATATCTTGTTAGGTTAGTAGAGACATGTATTAGTGGTTGTGCATTTGACCTTTTGAATAAAAAAAATGAATGAATGAATAAATACTTAACACCGCTACAGTTTAGTCATTTGCTCCGGAACTCTATACAAAGTAATTTGCATAGGTAGACTTCGTTAACAAATCTGGAACTTATTTTAGTTTAATGGAATTAAGGTGGCTGAAAATTTGAATAAAATCCAATACATTATATATATTGATTTATTTATAACGGTGATTATGGAGCGAAATTTCCCCTCTAATAGAAGTTCCACATGTCAGCAAAGAGATATCCAATAGAGAAGTGCCACACAAGCCTGCAAAGCAACTAGGGGTGCACCTAGTTCCGATTCCTACGGTGCTAGGCAGAATCGGAACTGAAACCATTCCCAACATTTCTTAAGAATTGGAACCATAACGTACCGGAATCGGTGGGAACAGTTATGGTCCGGTACTACGATTTCGGTTCCAGTTTTTTTTGTAACTAATAATTTAATAACTCTAAACCCAATCTTAATGCATTTTGACATATAATATTGTACATGAGAACATATATTTTAGTGTACATATATCTCTTTGTAGGCATCAATATATATATATATATATATATATATATATATACCAGTGCGTCAGTAGTTCAGCGGTACCAAACTCCTTATTAAAAAAAGGTCAAAGGTTCAAACATCAGTGGAGGAGGCACATGTGTATCAACTAAAGAAAAACAAATAGGCATATATATTAATAATTATATAATTAAAAAATATAATATATAAATATATATATATAAACCAATAATTCAAGTGTGAAGAAGGAAATGAGATGCTATATGATACAATCCAATTTTGGTGAACAAACAATGCGAGACCTAACCCAAGTTAAAACTTGTACAATAGGTTTATTGAGTGTGGTGCATTGAAAGTGTCGGCTATTCTTAGTCAGTGATCAATCTATATATATATATATATAATACACACACATATACGAGTATGATTTATCTAAAACTTTATTTATTTTGAATTAATAATCATTTGAAGAATTAACAATATATATATAGAGTTAAAAAAATGACCTTTTAATTCCCACTTTAATTAACAGAGAGAAGAAAACAAATATTGGATGCTTTTACAGTTACCGAAATTATTAAATGATCGTGCACCAGTAGCATTTGATGAATTCGATAAATAACGTTATTGAATTGAGAAAATGACTGCATAAAAGTGAATTAAATAAACCAAAACTATTTAGTGATTTCTCGTGCTATTGACAATGGGGGAATTTGGGGGGTGAGGATCTCATTTTACATTCTCATTCTTGTTTATTTTTTTCATTTCAAAATTAATTTCCCAAAATGCCCCCAAACAGAATGGAGCTGTCGCGCCATTTATTTTTCTATTATTTTGTAGCGCCAGCCATCTCTGTTGAGAAGAATTGTACTATGTATGTCTTAGTGTGAAACAATGAAATTGGATTGCACAATTTATTTTTCTATTATTGGTTTGTTTGTATATCATTATCACAATAGAAATGACAATGCTACTTTGAATGGTTGGAATTTAAAATTCTAATAAGTTTTATCACCATTAAAAAAAATATTAGTAAAGGATAATAATAGAAGAAATGTAGTTGATATAAACCTAAATATATCATTTATCTATATTTGATCCCGCAAATTTACATCTATTCCTTAGGGTCAAGGGTAATAAACAACAACTTTTTCATCAATTAAGCTATAACAAACTTGCAATGTTGGATTTTGGAGCGTAGTAAGCTCAAGATTTGGGGTTCGAGTTCTGTTGGGTATTCTTTGTGACTAACCTCCGTTATCCCTACAGTGACTTACCCGATCAGGGTGGAGAAGCGCCCTTCCGAGTCTTCAGGAATTAGTCGAGTTGTTGAGGAGTTATAAGGGTTCGTGCCTTCCCTGAGTCCTTGACATCCCGGGTTAATTAATAAAAAAATTTGCAAAAACTTGCTTTCCAAAAAATATAATATTAAAACACTTACAAAACTTTCTAAACTAAAATTTAACATTAGTACTTTCTAGTTCCAAAACAACTGTTCCTTTTTTGGAATCTAAATTTTAAGAAAATAATTATTATTATTTTATTATTATATTAGTAGCGAATGAATTACCAAATTTATTCCTAATGAACGAAAATGATATAATGGTTTACTTTTTATAGGTTCAATATATGAAGGTTATATTGTTAATCTTACAAAAATATTAATAATAATAATAATAATAATAATAATTAATTAATAATAATAATAGCACATTGACTTTTCAAAAAATGACATTTATTTTGAGACGAATAAAAAAAAAAAAAAAAAATTAAACACTTATTCTGAGACGGAGGAGTACAATGTGCATATACCATTATACCTGTGTGGTAAATAATACCCCTCGAATAAGAACTTCTACTTTGAAAAATTAAAATAAAATAAATTAAAAATAAAATGAAATAATATTTAAAAAAACTTGAAATGTAAAATGACCCTTTTGTTACGAGTTATTCTTTTGTTAAAACGGTTTTGGCCATAGGCCCACAAGGTCAATGTTATATCTTGTTAGGTTAGTACAGGCATGTATTAGTGGTTGCGCAAAGTTTAGAGAATTAAGGATCACTTGTCTATTTAAAGAGTAAGAAGGGCACATGTTTGTATATATATATATATACACTCCGTATAATAATTTCGGAATTCCTTTCATCCAACTTCTACACTGTTGCATTTGACCTTTTGAATAAAAAAAAATGAACGAATAAATAAATATTTAACACCGCTACAGTTTAGTCATTTGCTCCGGAACTCTATACAAAGTAATTAGCATAGGTAGACTTCGTTAACAAATCAGGAACTTATTTTAGTTTAATGGAATTAAGGTGGCTGAAAATTTGAATAAAATCAAATACATTATATATATTGATTTATTTATAACGGTGATTATGGAGTGAAATTTCCCCTCTAATAGAAGTACCACATGTCAGCAAAGAGATATCCAATAGAGAAGTGCCACACAAGCCTGCAGAGCAACTAGGGGTGCACCCCTTCCTGTTCCTACGGTCCTAGGCAGAATCGGAACTGAAACCATTCCCAACATTTCCTAAGAATTGGAACCAGAACGTACCGGAATCGTTGGGAACGGTTATGGTCCTGTATTACGGTTTCGCTTCCAATTTTTTTTGTAAATAATAATATAATGACTCTAAACCATTCTTAATGCATTTTGACATATAATATTGTACATGAGAACATACATTTTATTATACATATATCTCTTTGTAGGCATCAATATATATATATATATATATATATTACCAGTGCGTCAGTAGTCCAGCGGTACCAAACTCCTTATCAAAAAGAGGTCAAAGATTCAAACATCAGTGGAGGCACGCGTGCATCAACTAAAGAAAAATAAATAGGCATATATATTAATAATTATATAATTAAAAAATATAATATAAAAATATATATATAAACCGATAATTCAAGTGTGAAGAAGGAAATGAGATGCTATATGATAAAATCCAATTTGGTGAACAAACAATGAGAGAC